GATGTCATCAAGTGGTAGTTTCAGGTTAACAGCTACCTTTTTTTTTATGTTCTATTCATAGAAATCCTCATCAAAAACAGACCTGGAGTTTTGTTTTATTCACACACGTTACAGTAAGTGTAGTGTTCGGAGCCAAGTTCCACATTAGGAATAGAGATTTATTTACAGAAAATATAGTGAAATAAAAACTCAAAGATAATGTAGAGTGGGTTAAAGGTTGTATAGGGGATTTTTTAAGGGAAGTGAAATACAGCGACCATCGTTTTTCAAATGTTGTCTCTAGAAATCACATTTGTTTACATCCAGTGCATGTTCAGAATTACTCTTGAATTGACCTGTCTAGAAATATTTTAGCGACCGACGCGTCAGTTTTTAGACCCTTCGGACTTTCTTTCGCGGTGAACTGGTCGTGGATTCTCGTCCGCCATCGCGACAAACTTTGTGCGAATTGCAAGGGAGCGACAGTTTGAAAAAGCCTCTAAGAACCGCTGCATAAACCACATAATCCCCGAGCGCCGACGAGTCAGTTACAGTAAAAATGTAGGGAGTTTGATTGACAACCTAACAGCCAATAGAAAAAGAGGGAGCCTCGTTTTCTATTGGCTGATGTTTATCTGGCCTCACGACGTCTACAACTGATAGATTTTCATTCTTTCTTTTTTTTTCGGTCATCATAATTAAAAGGCTGCTGCATCTCTGTAATGGTATTTTAAACTTTCAATGACAATTTTAAACAAAAAAAATAAAAAATAAAAAATCCTCCATACAACCTTTAATACGAGCATTTTAAGACAAAAATGACAAGGCTTTCACATTATGATTGTAAGTTATACATGAACGTTTCGAGATGGATGGGTGTTCCAGTGGAAATTTATTGAAAAAATATGCAAATTCGTCCACCTTGTAATGTCATACGGCAATACAGGAAGTGCTCGACTGCGTTTTTAAACTCCATACAGCTTCATTAGAATTATTTTACTTTTTAATATTGGCTTTACAATAATGGTTCAAAAATATTCAGCACTTAAAATGTTGTTGAGGGAAACAGCATTAAAGAGGGGTGTTTTACTTCTATGGCAGATTAACTGGTAACACAGAACATATTTAGATCACCATGTTATCTTTTACTGTTTTGAAAATGCTGTATTTTCTGAAAGTGACGTATTAAGTTTATACGTTTTACTTTTGTTTCCCTCCTCTTCAGAGCGCTATCACAACACAACCAGTGTGCGTTCCACCAATAAAAATAGTGCACAAGCCTGACACATGAAATAATAGACAGAAAATTTAGGCTATGTTCAGACTGCAGGGCTTAATGCTCAATTCCGATTTTTTTGTGAAATCCGATGTTTCTGCGAGGTCGTTCACATTTCCAATTAAATGTGACTTGTATGTGATCCCCTGTGTGAACATTAAACGGCCCGAAAGTGTCCCGCATGTGCACTGGAGACACGACGACGTCAACCGCAGCGAGCGTGCTCTGTGTTTACGGAAGTTGTTCAAACATGGACGCAGCATCGAGCACCTGGAGATTTTAAAGTTCCTCTCGTACCGGAGCCAGAACATGAACAACTTACTTGTTTTAAGGAGGAGATTGAGAAGGAGAAGGACGAGGTTTTTGGTGGTGTTTGTGGCAGCGGCAGCGACGTCCGTTGAAAGGAACGTGTGGATGTGGAGACGGAGCCGTGAGTGGTGATGTGCTTCACTTCAGTGACACCGAGTTCATTAACAATTTTCGCCGACTTCAGTGCAGAATAGTGACGTTTGTGGCTTGTTGATAACGTGTTGGTCGAATGAATGCACTTTGGCCGTTCACACTGAAGTCGCATGTCAAAAGATCAGATATGTATCGATTTCAGGAGCACATATCCAAGTGTCCTGGGTCACATTTGAAAAAATCGGATCTGTGTCGTTCAGACTGTCATTAAAAGATCGGACACAGGTCACATAGGGGCCAAAAAATCTGATTTGGGTCACTTCAGTCTGCAGTCTCAACGCAGCCTTAGATTCTTTGATATTTAACTCTTTATTGGACTTTTCAAAAAAAAAAAAAAAATTATTATGATAATTTTTACCATTTTAAACTCAAATTCACAGAGGCCACAATTAAAAACTAGGACTAAGTTGTGGGCCAAACTAAATATTTACTTAAAAATTTAAACAACATCTACAACAGGAGTCTCACCTGCAGCTCTGGAGCTACCAGTAGCTCTCCACCCCCTTCCAAGTAGCTCACCAAAGGATTTCTGAATTACATGTAATGTGCTTAACAATTAAAATCAAATTTATTTCCCCTCTAAATGTGTCGTTTTGATTCCTTACTTTTGCACTAATAAATGGATCATGGTTTATGTTTAATAGGCATCTAACTGTAGCCCGTCTAAAGCTCTTTTACGTTTTAAATTTTTTGCAACCACTAAAATGAGAAGCTCTCTGGCGTTTTCGTTTCATTGAAGGTAGCTCACCAGAAGAAAAAGGTTGGAGACTCCTGATCTAAACCTTTTCTTATTAAAATAAATGTTTAATAATAGTTTTGCTTAAACATTGAATCCAGAACAAGCAAAATATAAAATAATAACAACATTTTGTCATCTGTAGCCGGTGGAACAGCTCTAATACAAATTTTATATGATCTCGCAGGCCAAATCTCATTATACTGCGGGCCAAATTTGGTCCCCGGGCCTGAGTTTGACATGTCTGATCTAACCAGTTGTAGTAGCAGTAGTAGTAGTAGTAATATTATGCACCATAAACTCTTTATACATTCTGGCTGTTCCTGGGCCTTTCCTTATTTCTTATTCCTCGGTGGAGTTGGAGTCGCTCATGCAGACTCTGTGCGTCTCTATCAGGTACAGAGCTCCACACAGCAGAACAGCACAAGTACAATGGAGCGGATTTGTCATTGTGAAAGCCTGTTAAACCGTCCGTGCATTTTACCTTTCTGTGCCCTCACTTTCTTTAACTACGAGGAGGAAAACTCGAGCTGTATTTTAGTGTTTGCGAGGACAACATTTACACTATTTGCTTTGTAGAAATGGCTGTCGGAGTATAGTGTTTTGTTGGGTTTTGTCATGTTTTTGTTCAGAATTGCAGTCGTTGGGGCCGTATAGCTGCAGTCTGTACAAGAGAAGATTTACCAAGCCTCTCTTTACTTCTCCTTTTCTCTAGTATGAATGAATAATGCATCAGCTTTTCGAGCGACTTCACAATCATAAATGTGTTACTTAAAACTTATGATTAAAATGTTTAGTTCATTACACATTTCACAAGACATTAAATTCAGCTCATTTTTGTATAGCCCATAATCACAACAGCAGAAAATTGTTGATATAACCAGCAGGATGTTAGAAAATCAAACAGTGAGATAGTCTTTGGTCACTCAAACACGAGCAGAATATCCAGTGTTAGTGTGTTCTATTATGCATAATATTTTTGTCAGGGATCAGTGTAAAGAGGCGGGGCCACTGACTACCCTGTGACAATAGTTTTAAAAAAGTGAATTTACTAAGGGAAATAGCATAGTGTATTAAGATGGAAGTAAAATATATTTGAAAGGTCTCTTTTTATCCATCGTTTACTGTTTCACTGCATCAAAATGGCCACATGTACTAGTAATACTATAGTGTATTTTTTTCAAACTATAAGTCACTCCAGCCAAAAAATTTGTAATGAAGAAGATAAAAACATATATAAGTTGCATTTTTTGGGGGAAATTTATTTGATAAAATCAGAGACCAGAAACCGACATTTCATCTCTAAAGTCAAGTTCTAGTAAAAACAATAGAAGAGAGAACAACAGACTGTTAACGTCACATATGAACAGTTCTTCAGATAAACTGTAACATAAACAACAGAACAGAACAAGTTTAACAAACTCTCCATCTCACTCCAAATCACTAAATCCATTCAATTCTTCATCCTCGGTGTCACTTCTGAGCAACTCCTCGACCTCCGGAGGTAAACAGAGCGTCGCTTCCTCTTCTGTGTCGCTGTCGTCAGACTCAGCATCAGTTCCAGTTAGAATTATTTCAGCCTTTCTGAATCCCGACAGGATGGTTTCGGTGTCACTGAAGTCCAGGCTTTGTCCATCCGTCCAGTGACTTCCAGAAAAGTTTCCCGGTGTCACAAGTTTCTCGCTCACTCCAAACTTTCTTTCTGCTGCTCGATTACAGTTTTCAGCTGCAGATTTCACAACTTGCAGCTTGTAATCTGCAAAATATGATTTTCTTTCTTGGGGGCATTTGTGTTCAGTCTTCTCAGTCGTCTTTATAAGTTTGTTTAAAATTTACATTTTCATTGGTACAGAAGTAACGGTGCGATCGACTGACATTCTGCAGGAGACATGTGCAGTAGAGCCAAGTGACAGTGGTACAGGAGGAACAGGAGCAGCAGATACTCACACACAAGACTAGAGCCTCTTGTGGCTTCAGTGTGAAAATTTTAATATATAAGTCACACCAGAGTATAAGTTGCAGGAAACACACAAAGCATATAAAAAAGTGCCACTTATAATCCGAAAAATACAGTATATAGTGCTTTTGTACCTTCTACTAGCTTTACATCAAGAAACCACTCACCCTAACCCATTGAAACACACTCAAACACCAGAGTACACAGACACTGGTGGTGCGGGGGGTTAAGTGTCTTGCTTAAGGACACAACAGCATTCATCTGTGGGAGCTGGAATCGTTTCACCAACCTGTGGGTCAGTGGATCTGACAGTGGATCTCCACAAATGATGTTTATGTTGAGAGCAGGGGTCAAACCGAGTGGAAAATCTCTACCAACAACATTACTGTTTAAGGTTTAATTTGTCTCACTCTGAAATTTTGTTTAAATTTTTCCTGGATTGTTGCGTCAGTGTTACGGGTCCTGTGTGACTGTACAACTGTAGTGTAATTTCTTCACATGTGACTGTGGAGTGAATAAATAATGCACATTTTTAACATTATTATTACATTACAATTTGACAGAACAGCAAATGTCTCTCTCTCTTCCAGAGGTTCAGTCCTGTGAGGGAGGTGGCGCCCCCTGTTGGAGCCTACGATGACCCACGCACTGCTCTGGAGCTGCTGAAGAAGTCCAGCTCCTCCAAGAAGAAGAGTCCATTCTGCAGCACGGCGGCTCGCTTCAGCCCCGAGTACAGGGGGACGTCTGTGCCAGGTCTGACAGGAGCTTTCTACCATGTTTTAACACTGTTCCTTCATCAAAAACACGCCTGAAGAGGTTTTAGAACCAGGCATGTTTGTGTCATTTATTTTATTTAGCAATCTCTCCCAGTCCCTGTCCAAACTTTTTTTCTTAGCTGTAAAATTTGTCCAGTGCTCCACCTACAAGCCTACATTGCCCATGCTCCGACACAATAATCCTCTGTAAATATATAAAAGGATTATACAAAACATTACATTACAGCTTTACAATCCTGATGCAATGTGCAGTATTGTATTTTCCGAAGTATAAGTTGCACCAGCCAAAAAATGTGTAATGAAGAAGAAAAGAACATATATAAGTCACACTTTTTGGGGGAAATTTGTTTTATAAAATCAGAGACCAGGAACCGACATTTCATCTCTAAAGTCAAGTTCTAGTAAAAACAATAGAACAGAGAACAACAGACTGTTAACGTCACATATGAACAGTTCTTCAGATAAATATAACATAAACAACAGAACAGAACAACTTTACCAGACTCTCCATCTCACTCCAAATCACTAAATCCATTCAATTCTTCATCCTCGGTGTCACTTCTGAACAACTCCACGACTTCTGGAGGTAAACGGAGCGCCTTCCTTTCTCTGTGTCTGTCGTCAGCCTTTCCAGTTAGAATTATTCCCGACCCGAGGATGGTTTCGGTGTCACTGAAGTCCAGGCTTTGTCGATTAATCAAGTGACTTACAGGAAAGTTGCATGGCGCGCACGTCCGGTTGCTGTGAAGCTGTGTTCTCCATCCCTGCCTTCCGCCAGTCTCTCACAACTTTCTCGCTCACTCCAAACTTTTTTTCTGCTCCTTATTTCACGACTTGCAGCAGGACAGAGGCTCTTTCTGCAGGAGACATGCGCAGTAGAGCCAAGTGACAGTGGTACAGGAGGAACAGGAGCAGCAGATACTGACACACAAGATTAGAGCCTCTCGTGGTTGTCAGTGTGAAAATTTTAATATACAAATTGCACCAGGGTATAAGTTGCAGGAAACACCCAAACTATGAAAAAAGTGTGACTTATAGTCCTAAATATATGATAGTTTTATTATGGAATCTTCGCTGATTGTGTTGTGAAGCTAGAGTGACTTAAACAAATGTAAAACTTCTTAAACATGTTAATACTTTTAATACTTTTTCCTCAGGTCCAGGCTCGTACGATGTGTTCGATCACGGCGTGGCCCGGGACTGTTTTAAAAAGGCTTATTTGGACCGGACCAAAGGGGGCTTCGGCTCCAGCTCCCAGCGCTGCATCGTCTTCAGCACACGGAGCACGGGGCCCAGTCCAGGACAGTACCAGGTCAGTGGGATCGGTAACCAGACCAAAACCAGACCAAGTGACAGAGACAGCTGCGTAAACAATGATATCATCTAAACATTAAGTATCATGTCAGTTCGTTCAGAAGAAGGTCCAAAAAGAAACTTATTGATCAGACTAATTGAAGAGTACAGTACCAATAACCTAGTAATGATAATAATCTTAATTTCTATAACAACTTTAACATCAGAGTTTACAAAGTGCTTCACAACAAAGTAAAAACACAATACACCCAGTAATAATAATGATGCATTTGATTTGTGTAGCACTTTTTGGAGACTTATAGATGACAAACAACCAGATCTAAGGTAAATCCAGTTAACCAGGTCTAAAGAGGGACTAACGGAGGACCAGAACTAACCACTAACATATTAGCTCAGTGACAGTCTGCGCTCTAAGCCTTTAAGCAAATGTATCTTTTGACTTTTTTCCTCGAGCAGATTCTATTTTAAAGGCCAAATCTCCTTGTCAAACACTGTGATGTCAGATCTCAGACGTTAAGCAGGGCCAGTGCCAGAGTGTCCCAAGATACTTCACACTGTGTTGGTGGAGGTGTCAGAGGGGCTGATGGTGCAGATACGTTTCTGGCAGCTTCACTTTCATCAGTCAGCTCCAGGGCAGCTGTGGCTACAAAAAATATCTTACCACAGTCCACTGAGGTTCATTTGGTCTTCTGATAATTTGTGCTATTAGGTTCTTTTTTCAGACCAAGAGTTTGTTTTCATACTTGACAGTTTTGACTGCTCCCTGTGGTCTTCCTCAGAGTCACGTGATGTTGCTGTGTTGTGTTCGCTCAGCTGATTTAAATTGCGCCGTCTTCCTACCGGTGGAGGCAGGACGACAGCGCCATCTGCAGTCCGACTTAATCAGGACAGAATCCCAATGCCAGTGGCAATACCCAAAATAGACAATAAACAAAGGAAAACAGCAGGTCAGAGAGAAAGAAAAACAGAACAAGAAAAACAAAAATAAACAAACGCAATCAGAGATAGCAACCTGGTCCCCTGTGAGGCATTGGTGTGGGCAGTTTGTGAGGAGCCCAGCCCATACACTGGTTATGTGTGTACCAACTTGTGTGATGACTGGGTGAATATTTTAGCCTGCAGATGGTTCAGAAATTGCCTGTTCTTTATAATGGTGTGACCTTTCAACTGACCCGTGTGACCTCAAATGACCTCAGATCGTCACCAAACTTTTTTTTTTTTTGCAGCATCGGGCACGGGGGCTTGACCCACCTACCAAATTTGATGACAATTGGCCCATAAATGGCGGAATTATCGCGGGTGGGCAGACACACAGACACAAACACACAGCGTGAATATAAAACCCCATCAACCCTTCGGGGACCAGGTAAATAGATGCATAAGGGGCATAACAGAAAAAGTGCACAGAGCAATGAGAAAACATAATATTAACACACCAGAGAAACCGTACAGAAAACTCAGACAGCTACTCGTCCACGCAAAAGATAAAATAGAACCGGAGCATAAATATAATGTAATGTCCTGCAATAAAACACACATCGGGGAAACAGGGAGGGAAAAAGGAACATAGGACAGAATGCGAGAAGGAAACAGTGAAGGTGAAACACGAGCAACAAAACACAAAGCAGAACAGGAACAACTCAAATCGAGAGAAGCACATTCTGGACTGGGACAGAGCAAATGTCACTGGGAAAGAGGAAAACAAACATCGTTGCTGGATTAACGAGGCAATCGAAATACGGAAACGTGCCCACGGGACGATAAACCGGGACGAGGGGGCTTTTTTACTCTCACACACCTGGGATGCTGTCCTGAGGAAGTGGGACTGCAGGTGGCGCTGTCGTCCTGCCTCCACCGGTAGAAAAACGGCGCCAGAACCTGTTTAAATCAGCTGATCGACACTTCACGGCAACATCACGTGAAACTGAGAAAGACCACGAGTGAGGAGTCGAAACTGTCAGGTATGAAAACAAACTCTTGGTCTGAAAAAAGAAGCTAATAAAAGGAGTGAATGAATAATGCATGATCCTGTAAAGCGACTTGGAGTGTCTGGAAAAGCGCTACACGAGACTAATGCTTTATTATCACTATTAATTACATCCTGACAACCCTCCGCACCCACTTCTCTCTCTCTCTTCCTCTCTCGCTGAAGCTGCTCCTCCTCTTCTGCTCTTGTGCTTTTCTCCGTCTCTAAAATTTTGTGTTTTTGGCTCAGGCCGAGAGAAGGAGCGAGGAGCCCTACAAGAAACAGAACACAGCGGCCTTTAAATCAGCCACAGAGCGCCTGGTGTTACCGCTGCAGGCTACAGTAAGAACTACATCACTCTAGTCCCCCCCCCCCCCACTTCTCTCTCTACTTTCACTTTTATTCTCTCTTTCTCTCTCTCTCTTTTCTCTCTGCAGGCTACAGTCAGAACTACATCACTCTGTGGCCCACCTTCTCGCTCTACTTTCACTTTATTCTCTTTATCTATCCTCCCTCTCTCTCTCTCTCTCTCTCTCTCTCTCTCTCTCATATCACCGTTCTCTTTTCCTTCTCCCTAACTTTTTCCCGTCTCCCGCTCCAGCCCTCCTCTCTCTCTCTTCTCTCCTTTTCTTTTCATGGTGCAAACTCACAAACTCGCTGCCAGCTTTTGGACTCTGTTACTGGGACATCGCGGGAGCAGCCAGGAGTCTTGTTTTCCCAGTATCCCTCTTTTTCCTGCTCTATTCCTCCCCCTCTTCTCTTGATCTCTGTAGCTCGTTCTCTCCCCTTTCTCTTTTGCCTCGTCGACTCTCTTTCTCTCTTCCCGCTCTCTTCCCTGCTTCCTGTCTTTCTCTCCTCTTACACCCCCTCTCCCTCGTTGCTTCTCGCTCTCCTTCCTCTCTTTCTCTTCCTCTTTCTCCTCTCCCTCTCTCCATCTCCCCTTTTCTCTCCCTTCCATCTCTCTCTCTCTACTGCTCCCTTTCTTTCTCTCCTCGTACACCCTCTCTCCCTCGTTGCTTCTCTCTCTTCTTCCTCTCTTTCTCTCCCTTTCCTCTCTCTCTCAGCCCCTTCCTCTCCCTCTTTCTCTCTCTTCTCTCTCTCTCTTCTCTCTTTCTCTTGATCTCTGTAGCTCTTTCTCTCCTTTTCTCTCTTTCCTCTCTCTACTGCTCCCTTTCTTTCTCTCCTCTGACACCCCCCCTCCCTCATTGCTTCTCTCTCTCTCCTTCTCTCTTTCTCTTCCTCTTTCTCCTCTCCCTCTCTCCATCTCCCCTTTTCTCTCCCTTCTCTCTCTCTCTCAGCCCCTTCCTCTCCCTTTCTCTCTTTCTCCCTTCCCTCTCTCTCTCCTGCTCCCTTTCTTTCTCTCCTCTTACACCCCCCTCCCTCATTGCTTCTCTCTCTCTCCTTTCTCTCTTTCTCTTCCCCTTTCTCCTCTCCCTCTCCCCCCTTCTCTCTCTTTCCTGTCTCTCTCAGCCCCTTCCTCTCCTTCTTTCTTTCTCTTCCTCACTCTTTCTCCCTCTCTTCTCTTGATCTCTGTAGCGCGTTCTCTCCTTTTCTCTCTTCCCTCTCTCTGCCTCTTCAACCCTCTTTCTCTCTTCCCTCTCTCTCTCCTGCTCCCTTTCTTTCTCTCCTCTCCCTCTCTCAATCTCCCCTCTTTCTCTCTCTTCCTCTCTCTCTTCTCTTGATCTCTGTATCTCTTTCTCTCCTTTTCTCCCTTCCCTCTCTCTCTCCTGCTCCCTTTCTTTCTCTCCTCTTACACCCCCCTCCCTCATTGCTTCTCTCTCTCTCCTTTCTCTCTTTCTCTTCCCCTTTCTCCTCTCCCTCTCCCCCCTTCTCTCTCTTTCCTCTCTCTCTCAGCCCCTTCCTCTCCTTCTTTCTTTCTCTTCCTCACTCTTTCTCCCTCTCTTCTCTTGATCTCTGTATCTCTTTCTCTCCTTTTCTCCCTTCCCTCTCTCTCTCCTGCTCCCTTTCTTTCTCTCCTCTTACACCCTCTCTCCCTCATTGCTTCTCTCTCTCCTTTCTCTCTTTCTCTTCCCCTTTCTCCTCTCCCTCTCCCCCCTTCTCTCTCTTTCCTGTCTCTCTCAGCCCCTTCCTCTCCTTCTTTCTTTCTCTTCCTCATTCTTTCTCCCTCTCTTCTCTTGATCTCTGTAGCTCTTTCTCTCCTTTTCTCTCTTCCCTCTCTCTCTCCTGCTCCCTTTCTTTCTCTCGTCTTACACCCTCTCTCCCCTGTTGCTTCTCTCTCTCCTTCCTCTCTTTCTCTTTCTCTCCCTTTCCTCTCTCTCTCAGCTCCTTCCTTTCTCTCTCTTTCTCTTTCTCTTCTTTTATCCTCCTCCTCCGCCTCTCTCTCCTCTGGCTCATGTCTTCTCTAAAAACAGGTCACCGTGATTAGTTTTCCTCTTTCTTTCTTTCAAAAGCTTCGGGTCTTCATTTAGTCTCACGATTCAAACGACTCTTTCACATCAGAGCCATTTAAATGCATTAAAAACACTTCACTACTTTTACCGTTTAATAGAAGCTAAATAGAGATTTTAACCAACCAAATAATGAGTAATAATTAATTCAAAAAGCAGGACTTGACTCTCCTGCTGCTCACTTGGCACTAGTGTCGGTGCCACACGTTAGTAGTGGCAGAGTTAATTATTTGGGGGCCCAAGGTGAACTTGAGCTTTGGACCCTCACTGTCATGCACCGTTTCGTTGTTTTGGGTTTTTCTGTCTGTTTGTTGTTCTTGAGACACACACATCTCTATTTTAATTAAGGTGGATTTGGAAACTTGTCTTATTAGTTAACAGAGATCTGTGCAGAACAGAGTTTTCAGTCACGTGCCCGCAAAGAATTGTAACTTTCTTTCCCGCTCCTGCCCACATCTGCGATATTTTGTCCCACTTTTCCCGTTCACAAGTCCCGCAAGATGGGGACGTTCGCTTTCTTAAGCTCTATCAAACACAGAGAAGAGGAAAGGAATTGTCTAAAATGTGCGTGAGATCAGACCACATCCGTACGTTTAGGCTGCTTAAAATGTTTTTATTAATGCCAAGTAAACTATCCAGCAAATATTAATCATTTGTACATTTTACTTTACACTCATATTTAGTTTGCGGGACTGCACTTTATCATCCCACCTGCCTGCTCCCGCAATGAGCTTCCAAAATGTGTTCCACACTGCACACTGTTTTGCGTCGGCTGTGCAGGACTCTATTAGTTCGATAGTTTTATTTAGTTAGTTTTATTTATTTGCTAGTACAATTACATTTTTGTTTACATTCATTAAATATGGTTATGATTATGAGTATGCTATTATATTAAAATCAGGATCAAGCTGACTTGTCCATTTTAATGAAAAAGGGGAGGATGCTTTGACAGTTAAAAAGATTTGACAGATACTATTTTGATGGTGTTTTTTTTGTTTAAAAGTAAAACTACTCCCATTTAATGTCATACTGAGAGAAAATCAAATTGCTTTGAGGCGTTGGCCAATAGTGGCACTGAGGGCAACTGATTGGAGGCCCCTCAAGGTCCGGGGGCCCAAGTGTTGTCTAATGTTTGTGCCACCTTTGGACCTAAGACCCTATTTACACTAAAACAAATCCACGCATCACTGTATCAGCATATCGGAAATGATCTGCGTCCACACATGTCGTTTCTGTATCCGCAATCAAAGCGTTCCCTGTCCATACAGAAACGCAAAACCGCCTGAAACACTAGTCACGTGATCGGCTGGTGTCACGTATTCATGATGTCCTGACGTCACGTGAGCAATAAAAACAAGGAAGTCTGAAGTAGCAGCATCTGATTTTGAGCTGAGGGAGATGGCAAGTGTAAAAACTGTATTTTCGTGGACCGACGACGAGGTTCAGTTGTTACTTAGCGTAACACTGGATTTTAAGACGAGCATGTTGGCTCAGAGTGCAAACTGACTCGTTTCTGTATCTGCAAGTCTTCTCTATCCACACAGTTTTGAGCATATTTGTTTACGTTTTACAGAAACTAAACTTAAAACCACATGGCTCATTTGCATAAACTAAGCACTCAAAAAAACAGCTCGCTCTTGTGCGCTGATGCGGTTCAGCTTCTGTCGGACTAAAGGACACGACTTAGTGGATTATGAGTGTGCTGATGGTGAGTTTGTTGTTATATAGCGTACGATCATACGCATAGACCATATTTATGAATAGACATATATTCTAGCCTCTTAGCATTTTGGCGGTGAATTACTTCGCTTCGCACAGACCTACATCAGTGTATCAGCGTTTTCTGGTGTCCACACAGTGCCAGATCATATCTGTACTCAAATTAATTCTTTGGAGCTAGCGGCACCAGATCGTTCCATCTCTGGAGCCGTTTTCAATCAGATTAGTGTGGAAGAACACTGCATCCACAACGAAAATGACTCGAATATGTACTAGTGTGGACGGGGCCTTAGTCAAGTTAAAGAAACTAGATGTACAATTTACATTTAAAATGTCATAAACTGTGTTCCTAGGTAAGAGATAAACATGTCCAAATCAAATATGGTTTTTACTGATAACAGTTCCAATGCTGATTTATTCTTTAAAAAAAAAAAAGTTTAACTTTGTTTTTGTTAGTTTTAGGTAACATTTCAATACACAAAAAAACTATATAAATCAAAAACTATGTAACAACAGTCTGGAGTTACAGGTTCTTATTTAAACATGCATTTGGTAATGACATTTTCATTTACTATGTTGTTTTTCTGGTGTTATTTATGAATACCTTCCACTTTTCCCATTACTCATCGTATTTATACCATTTCAGTTTAAGTTTATATATTATTCTTTCTATCACAGAAATACTGATTTATTCTTAAGAACAAAATGGGCCATTGTGTCCATTGTTTTTGTAATTAAGATATTATTGTCCAATCAGAAAGCAGAATGAGCCTGACATGACTCTCATGTGTTTGTGTTACCAGTTGCAATGCTGAAGTCCATTTGGTTTAAGCATAAAAAGACTCAGCTTGTTTGTGTCCAGGTCAAAACTCTGGCAACACAGGTTCAGAGCGTTGAGAGCGCAGGCTACATATAGCTTGTGCGGTTGCTACAGAAAATGTCAGAATAAACAATAATATTGAAGCTGTACATTTACATAAAAGCCTCAGAGCAGGAGAATCTCTTCTGTAAAATGAACAAGGTTAAATGTTGCATGAATTATACACACATTACATAAACAGCACAATGAAAGGAAACACATTAGGTACCTTTATAATGAGTCTTATATGTTAATTATCTGGTGTTTTACCGCTCACATACCACTACAAACACATAAACACATGACCTACTTGTGCAGATAAAAGCTCCATACAGTCATTATGTAAATACACACAG